TGTGTGTGTGTGTGTGTGTGTGTGTGCGTGTTCAAGGAAGGTACCTATCAGAGCCCCGGGGGTCTCAGCCCTGCTCTTTCTTGCTGAGCCTCTGCCCTACAGCCAGCCAGAGCTCAAAGTGTCAGGGGCCCCAGGAAGCTACCAGGCTGCCCCGAGGGAGCTACAAGGTGAATCTTCTCCTTCTGCAAATTTACCTCCAGAGACAAGTTACTGCGCAGTCTGGGAAGATGTCTCCTCCTGGACAAGGGGGGCCCACAGTCTGGGCTGTGCCATGAGGTCCCGGGATGTGGAATTGGGGGTTGGCTCAGGCACTCCGTGTCCCCGGCCAAGGAGAGCTCGAGGTGGGGCGGTGGGCAAGTTGTCCAGGGAACCCTGTGTGCTGGCCTGTGCCCGCTGCTTGCGGCCTGCCCGCTTACCTCTCTTGAAGGCCCACCGCTTCAGCCACAGCTTAGAGAAGGCTGGCCAGGAGTGGTTGAGCCCTGGGTCAGCCATGGGGCAGGCTTGCACGAGTGAGTGCAACTGGGATGGAGCAGAGCTCAGCCGGGAATCCTTGCCAGGATGGGGCTGCCAGCAAGAGGGGCGGGGACTGCTGCAAAGGGCTGCCAGAGGCAGCAGCTGGTGGGATCGTGGGGCTGGCGTTCCGGCTATGGGGGCCCCTGGACTCCAGTCTGGGGGGAGGCCAAGCTCTAGCAGCGTCCCCACCCCCAGCCCTATCGGCCTCTTACCTGGGCTGGACAAGACATTCTAAGAGGAGCTGAAGAGCAGCAGGAGGAGAGGTGACGGTGGGTCCTCGGGGAAACAGGCTGAGTCCTGAGTGTCTGAGTGTTTGTGTGCCACTGTCCCTGTTTAGCAGGGCGTTTGTGTTGGTGTATAGTGCGTGTGCTGTCAGGTGAGTGTTTGAGTGCAAGTCTTGAGTGTCCACGTGTGTGTTCACACTCAGCATCTAGTGCAGCGGTTCTCAACCTGTGGGTAGCAACCCCTTTGGCAGTCGAACTACCCTTTCACAGGGGTCGCCTAAGACCATCCTGCATATCAGATATTTACATGACGATTCATAACAGTAGCAACATCACAGTTATGAAGCAGCAACGAAAATAATTTTATGGTTGGGTCACAACATGAGGAACTGTATTTAAAGGGCCAGAAGGTTGAGAACCACTGGTCTAGTGGGTTCCCTGCAGTGTTGGTGATGTAATGGGCACAGAGCCCTGTGCCCGTTTACGGTGTGCAGCACTTACAGTCTCAGGACGTAGTCATCTGTAACTGGGAGTTTCTATGTTTTGACCACCTTTACCCATTCCCCCACCCCCAGCAATCACAAATCTGAAGTTTTTTACGATAAGTTTTTTTTTAAATTAGATTCCACATATAAGTGGGCTCATATAGTATTTGTTTCTCTTACTTTATTTATAGTATTGGTCTGGTTTACTTTATTTAGCATAATGCCCTCAAAGGTTGTTGTAAATGACAAGATTTCCTTCTTTTTGAGGCTGAATGATATTATCTATGTGCTTTTTCAAACATCTGGGATTGTGTGTGAAATAATTTTATGGTTGGGTCACAACATGAGGAACTGTATTTAAAGGGGTATATGAGTGTGTGTGAGTGTGTGTACGTGTGAGTGTGTGTGTATGTGTGTGTATGTGTGTGAGTGTGTGTATGTGTGAGTGTGTGTGTGTGAGTGAGTGTATGTTAGTGTGCATGAGTGTGTGTGTGTGTGTGTGTATGTGAGTGTGTGTGAGAGTATATGAGTGTGTATATGAGTGTGTGTGTGTGTGCGTGCGCGCGCGTGTGTATGTGAGTGTGTGTGTATGTGTGTGTGTATATGAGTGTGTGTAGGTATATGAGTGTGTGTATATGAGTGTGTGTATGTGAGTGTATGTGTGAGTGTGTAGTGAGTGTGTGTATATGTGTGTGTATGTGTGTGAGTGTGTGTGTGTGCGTGAGTGTGTGTGTGTGCACATGTGTGTGAAGGCTATTTGTGTGAAGGCAGGGGAGCGGGATTTGAACTCACAGCAGGGGTGGGACCTGCCTGTGTCCTCTAGGCCTGAGGGAGAACTGCTCTGGCATCTGTGAGGGCTCTGCTGCTTGCCTGGGCTCTGTGTCTGCGTGTCTGCGGGATCGGGGTGTACCCAGTGCTATGGCTGTGCGCGCACCCGCCAGCGGCCAAGTGCTGCCTCCTAACTGGTGTTTTCATTCTTCTCTGAAAAATCCCTGACTGTCTGGCAACTTCTTAGGCTCTTCCCTCCCTCTCAGAGAGTTCTCCACACGCTGTCTTTGCCCCGGCACACCGCCCGACTGCACAGCCACTGCAGTCCCATTTCCATCCTCTCAGTCTCCTAGCTCTCTGGGCTAAATCCAAAGGACACTTCCTGACTCACCTCGACTGGCTACCTCCGACCACATCCCTCTAGAAATTCATTCCTCCTGTGACGCATCAGGCTGAATTGATGAATGATGAGAGAGAATCACAGATTGGCTGCCTCCTGCACGCCCCGCTCCAGGGATCAAGCCTGCAACCTGGGCATGCACCCTGACGAGGAATTAAACCATGGCTTCCTGTTCATGGGTTGACGCTCAACCACTGAACCACACCAGCTGGCCTAATCTTCCCTTTTTTGCCTGACCTTTAAACTCTGTGTTCCCGGGCTCTGTCCTGGTCACTTTCTGCTCTCCCACCAGCCCTGGTGATCCCCCCTTGCTCCCCCCCCCCGATTGCTATCATAAGTAGGTGGCCCCAAAATCTTTCAGTCACACAAAGACACAAAAACACACACTCTATATACTAACACCTGTGGACAATGGCAGACACACACACACACATAGACAGACACAGACACAGACAATTATACACAGACACATACATAGAATCCAGAGAACAGCTCGTGGACATTTAAAAAGCACCTCATCTGCTGTGCTCCAGGTTTGAATTCTTTATCTCCTACCACATGTTTCCCAACAGGCTACCAACGCCTCGGGGACCCCTTGGTCCCTGGGTGGAGGGCAGATGTGAGAACTTCGGGAACACCTAGGGCAGTCAGAAGCCAGGAAGAGCCATCAAGCCCCTGGCACCCAAGGCAGGAGCCCGGGAGGCCAGAACCAGGGAACGCGAGGTTAGAGCACAGTAGGCAGTGAGGTTTTAGAAAAATCTCACTTTACAAATCCGACCAGGACACCCTTTCTAACAGTGCAAGCTCGCTTATTGTAGAAAGACACAAAACACACGCTGTCCACCCACATCCAGCACCGAAGGCGGCTTAGAAAGAACAGCCCCCAAAGCTGCACAAAACTGGAGGGAAACCTCTGCCTGCAACTGGGAGGCACTGGCACTGGGGCCCGGGGGTCAGGGCCCCGGAAGGCAGGAAGCTAGTGACGTGAGGCAGACACGATGCCGTGTTATTTCTCACGGGAGTTTGTGGATATGAATGTGGTTCGTAAGTGACTGGGAAGCAGACCAGAAAGAGGCCCCAGGATACGGCTGTCCTCTCTGTCTAGCCCTTTCTCAGGAGCCCACCCTGCAAACTCAGTAACGACCGGACCTACCATCAGGTTCTCCTTCCAGGTGTGGCCCAGAAGTTGCTAAGGATGCACACAGGTTGCCTGGCAGGGACTGCTCAGGGAAGCAAGGCTGGGGGACAGGGGCAGGGACAGGGTGAAGGAACAGGAACGTCTGACCACGTTTTCTGAGCTCCTACTGCATGGGGGCCTGTGCTCTGATCTTACTTGTAAGGGCTAGGACAGCTCTTTAATGGAGGAACCAAGGGAGGGCCAGCGCGGTGAAGTCACTTGCCCACGGCTGCCCAGAGGCAGGGGAGCAGGATTTGAACTCACAGCAGGCTGACACGACCATCCTGTCATCTGTACAACATTGAGTGTGGCAGCCGTCCAGCACCGTGTCAGGGCTGGGAGTCAGGGTGTGCGCAGACGGCCGAGACAAGACATGCTGATGGGTTTGCCATTGACATTCCATGGTGCTTCCAGGTCCAGTGACAAGCCTGCCTCTGCCCAGAAGCCCTCCCAGAGAGGCCCGGGACCATGGCAAGGGGCTCAAAGGCGGGCAGTCCTCCCTTGATCTTGCTTGGTTGTCAAACCTTTTTAGAACTGTAGGAGCCTGGGCCAGTGGGATCAGCCACCTGAGTGGCCCTGGAGGCTTTCTCTGATGTGCCCCAGCCTCACCCACCAGCTCGACGGCCTCAGCCATCCACTCCAAATGCACCCATTCCTGGCTGCTTGCGGGGCACCTTCCCGGACCCCAGAGTGCCTGAACCCGCCTGGTGGCCGTGTGGCCTTGGGGGCTGGGAGGAAGTAGAGGCTTGGGTGTGCCCTGAGCGAAACCACAGCCTTCCTCCCGACTGCACCCCAACCCAGGCAGCCTGGGCGGGAAGCTCCCTGAGTGGGCCATGGTGGGAGCCAGGAGCACCTCCTTGGGGGAAGGGGAGCTGGAGGGCTGCCGGTGGAGGGTTCTCCTCTGTGGGTGAGCTAGCCAGCATGGGGAGCAACCGTCCTCAGGCCTGGCTCTCACACATCAGCCTGAAGCAGAAGTGTTTGTTTTGAAAGTCAGACACCCCAGCCCCAACTTTCAGATTCTGTTTCAGGGAGGTCCACGGGGTGTGGCTGTGTGTGTTCCAAAACCTCCAGTTTAAAAAGCGAAGCATGCCTGGCGACTCTGCTGCAGGAAGCACAAGACCCTCCCCCTGGCACCCACTGTCTCTCTTCCCCAGCCTTTGGCCACAAGGGGCTCCATCCTCCTGTTGTACTTTGTGGTCTGCCATGGACCCCAGCCCCTGGAGAGACCTCTTAGGACCACAGACTTTTGCAGGACAAATAAGCAGGTTAAACCACCTCGCCCGCTCACTTGAAAACAGGCTGACCAGAGGGTTGAGAGAAATAGGATGGGCTGTCTGTCCACTGCCCCTCAGGCTGCACCAGACCTCGCTGCCAATCTGTCCCTGTTGGTCCATCTGTCCCTCCACTCCCAAGCCCCCAGCATGGTCACTCACCACGTGGAGACTTGTCCTCACTGCTGCAGGCACACAGTCCGGCTCCTGCGGCCCCCACTACCCATGGCCAAGGCCTCCAGCCTGTCCAGGGGGAACATCAGTGGGTCAGAGTCCAGAGTAATTGCAGGGTGACCTCAACTTCCTTTTCCTTAATTGCCCGACGGCTTGGTCCCTCTATCCCCAGCTGTGGGCTGAGGTGGGGGTCTGAGTACAGCATAGGCTTGGGGTTCTAGAAGCAGGGTACTCACCTCCACCACTCAGCCCTGTGGGTGCAGGTGTCCTGAAGAGATGAGTGGGGGATGGGGGAAGCCTCAGCACCCTCACCCCCACCCCAACAGCTTCCTGTAGAACCAACTGCCAAAGAGGAACAGGGCTCTGGGCCTCGCATGGGTACACAGGCAGAGACTCATGGGAACACAAAGTCACGTGTATCCAGAGACAGTTGCTCAGACACACTTGTGACCATGCACTGGTATGTGGGTACACACTTGGTTACATTGGGCATGGAGGCACCTGGGTCCCATGGTCTGCTGATAAATTGTTAATAACCACCTCTCTGACCAAAATAAGAAAATAAAAGAAATAAAGAATAAAATGAAATCCTGGTACTTAGCATCTGTTGATTCCCATGGCACAAATACTCCCATCATAGCCGGTTTCATCGCCAACCTGCTGTCACTGAGTGTGGAGTTAGCAGGAAATGCCCAGTGTGGCTCCAGCACATCACTGGAGTGGGGACTCAGGCACGTGGGTTCATGCACACAGGATGCTGGCACACAGTGTGTGGACACCTATGGGTCCAGGGCCACACGGCGGTGTGCAGACAGAGCAGTCTACCCATAGAGACAGCTGGGTGCATGCAAGGCACACACAGCTTATGCATGGTGCCATGTGGAGCTGCACACTGGCACACGGGAGCACACACCTGCACATGAGAGCACACACCTGCACACGGGAGCACACACCTGCACATGGGAGCACACACTGGCACACGGGAGCACACACCAGCACACGGGAGCACACACCTGCACACGGGAGCACACACCTGCACACGGGAGCATATACCAGCACACGGGAGCACACACCTGCACACGGGAGCACACATCGGCACATGGGAGCACACACCTGAACACGGGAGCACACACCTGCACACGGGAGCAAACATCGGCACATGGGAGCACACACCTGCACACGGGAGCATATACCAGCACACGGGAGCACACACCAGCACACGGGAGCGCACACCAGCACACAGGAGCATATACCAGCCCACGGGAGCACACACCTGCACACGGGAGCGCACACCAGCACACGGGAGCACACACCAGCACATCGGAGCACACACCGGCACACGGGAGCACACACTGGCACACGGGAGCACACACCCGCACACGGGAGCACACACCAGCACACGGGAGCGCACACCAGCACACAGGAGCATATACCAGCCCACGGGAGCACACACCTGCACACGGGAGCGCACACCAGCACACGGGAGCACACACCAGCACATCGGAGCACACACCGGCACACGGGAGCACACACTGGCACACGGGAGCACACACCCGCACACGGGAGCACACACCAGCACACGGGAGCGCACACCAGCACACAGGAGCATATACCAGCCCACGGGAGCACACACCTGCACACGGGAGCGCACACCAGCACACGGGAGCACACACCAGCACATCGGAGCACACACCGGCACACGGGAGCACACACTGGCACACGGGAGCACACACCCGCACACGGGAGCACACACCAGCACACGGGAGCGCACACCAGCACACAGGAGCATATACCAGCCCACGGGAGCACACACCTGCACACGGGAGCGCACACCAGCACACGGGAGCACACACCAGCACATCGGAGCACACACCGGCACACGGGAGCACACACTGGCACACGGGAGCACACACCCGCACACGGGAGCACACACCAGCACACGGGAGCGCACACCAGCACACAGGAGCATATACCAGCCCACGGGAGCACACACCTGCACACGGGAGCGCACACCAGCACACGGGAGCACACACCAGCACATCGGAGCACACACCGGCACACGGGAGCACACACTGGCACACGGGAGCACACACCCGCACACGGGAGCACACACCAGCACACGGGAGCGCACACCAGCACACAGGAGCATATACCAGCCCACGGGAGCACACACCTGCACACGGGAGCGCACACCAGCACACGGGAGCACACACCAGCACATCGGAGCACACACCGGCACACGGGAGCACACACTGGCACACGGGAGCACACACCCGCACACGGGAGCACACACCAGCACACGGGAGCGCACACCAGCACACAGGAGCATATACCAGCCCACGGGAGCACACACCTGCACACGGGAGCGCACACCAGCACACGGGAGCACACACCAGCACATCGGAGCACACACCGGCACACGGGAGCACACACTGGCACACGGGAGCACACACCCGCACACGGGAGCACACACCAGCACACGGGAGCGCACACCAGCACACAGGAGCATATACCAGCCCACGGGAGCACACACCTGCACACGGGAGCACACACCAGCACACGGGAGCACACACCAGCACATCGGAGCACACACCGGCACACGGGAGCACACACTGGCACACGGGAGCACACACCCGCACACGGGAGCACACACCAGCACACGGGAGCGCACACCAGCACACAGGAGCATATACCAGCCCACGGGAGCACACACCTGCACACGGGAGCACACATCGGCACATGGGAGCACACACCTGCACACGCGAGCACACACCTGCACACGGGAGCACACACTGGGACACGGGAGCACACACTTGCACACGGGAGCACACACCTGCACACGGGAGCATACACAGGAACATGGGAGCACACACCTGGACCCTGAGGGTAGGGGGAGCCTGTGAGGAGACACAAAGAAAGGCTCAGCCATCTCGAGTCAGCTTACAGAGCCAGTTGTTAAACGTTCAGGGATTTTGCAAGCTGTCATTAAATGCAGCTGTCATCCAAATTTAATTATACAAATTGGCAGTTAAATAAATTATGTTAAGAATAAAAGTAATAACCACTTAAATCTATCATCAGGTACTTAATGCAGCTAAACTATAAAAATGGTTGACGTGGGGTTCTAAGATGGCTGAAGAGTAGGTGAAAGCAAAGCACACCTCCTTCCAGCACCAAACCAGGTTAACAGCTAACACTTAGAGCAATCAACCTGAATAAACAATGGAAGGACACCCGGACAGGAGTATGGTACCCAAGGATTGAAAAAGGAAGCTACTGGTAAGAAGGGCCAAGAGGCAGAGAAGGCTGGTCCCTGAACCCAGAGACAGTGACTGAGAAGCTAGAGAAATATCACAACTGCACCAGTCCCCTCAAGGAAAGTGGGGTCCCAACCCTATGCCAGGACCCCCAACCCAGCACCAGTGCTGGGAAGAAGAGCCTGCACAGCATCTGGCAGCAAAAATCAGTGGGGACTTTGTCTGCTGGAAAGAGGAGGGAGTCTGCTACAATCCCAGGTGCTCTACTTAAGGGCCAGCACACAAGGGCTTCTCTTGGCACTCACCTGGGCCTCTGGTGGAGGGAAGGAGACTCAGGGCATTTGGAAGCCATAAAGAGAAGATCTGGGTGGCATAGCTCTGGAGACCTGGATGATAGGCTACTGAGGTCCTGGTCCTGAGTCAACATCTCACCCGGCCCTCAGGCACCATCTCCCAGGGTCGATCACTTCTGTTCTTACAGCACCAGCTGGAGAAAGTGCACTAATCCCGTCCTCCAAACACTGGAGACACCACCCTGAAAACTCCAGTCTGGCATAAAAGACTGTTGTCTGCACTCAACAGGGACCTGAGTGCACTCTTCCTGGAGAAATATAGACAGACTCTTAGAGGATCATTGAACTGAGTGGCTCTGGAACAAGGGCCAAACTTTCCCCCTTCCACAGGTGAGGCAGGTGCCACACCAACCTACCAGAAGACGCCCTTGTTAAGGTCTCAGGCAGCAGTCAGCTGTGGAGCTAGGGGGAGGCGTGCACTTGCACCCCTCCTGTAGCCCTACACCACCCCCGACAAAGGACTACTTGGATATGCATCCCCCAAATCTGCTGGCACCAGCCCGCCAGTGCAGTTCCACAGGGAGAAGGAAGCACAATGCAGAACTGGGACATTTGGCACAACCCACTTGGAGCCTCCTGTTAGGTTCACTAGCAGGACACCACCAGGCTAGGAGAAGGTAGCTAGCTCCCCTCCTGAGGGCCAAGGGCCCACATCACCTCCATCAAAGGGCGGATTGGATTTGCATTCCCCATCTGCTGGCCCCATCTGCTAAACTCATATCTGTAGGGGCAGAGCTCACAACTCAGAGCTGAGACATTTGATGCAACCCCCTCAGAACATTCTGTTAGGGTCTCTGGCAGTCACTACAGAGATAGATGGAGGTGAGTAGCTCTCTCCCCTCCCAAGGGCTGGCACCACCCCAAGGGGAGGGCCACCTTGACCTCCAAGCCCTGCAGGGATTGGGGAGGGAGCAGGGAAAGCCCAGTTTGGCCCCATCCTGCGAGGCTCAGTTTTGAGGGGGGAAGGAGGCTCTGCTCAGAGTAGGGACATTCAGTGTGCATCTACCTCAGAGGCTCCAGTCCAGGGCTTGAGCGGGTGTGGCTACAGAGCTAAAAGGAGAAGTGCTGTTTCCCCCATCCTGTGGCACATTTTGTACCACCCCCAAAAGAAGGCTTTCTCAAACTGTTTGCCCTCCTGCAGTGATGGAAGCTGGCTACACCTAACCCTGTGGTGCACTCCTCCTGGGGGAGATAGAGTTGGAGACTCTGGCAGAGTCTAAATGGTATGGCTGTGGAGTCGGGACCACATTCTCCCCATTGAGTGCCAGACCAAACTAGGGCATCCACTAATCCTGTCTGCCTGACCTGGTAACCCCCACCTACCAAGCCTGATCCCTGCATAGCCTTCCTGCATAAGACTCTGGAGGAAATCCAGGCAACCTGGAGGGGGAGCAGAGTAGCCAACAGGTGGATGCCAACCTCAGGGAGGCTAGGTCTTTTATTCATCTGACTCCAGCTCAGAGCTCCAGGAAGCTGACCCACCTGCACAGATTGGCCCCTCCCATGCACACCCAGGTTCAACAGATGGAGACATTAACAGTGAACACTGTGGGAGCTTCAGACAGGTAGCCCCAAACTGGCTACAAAAAGGTTCTGACAGTGATCTATACCCAAACCCCACTCAAGTGGACCCAAACCAATAAAACTAGTGGTGGGCTTTAGACCACATCAGAACTTGATCTCACCAGCCTCACAAGCAACACACCTAAAGGAAGA